GGGCGGTACGCGGGGGCGGTCCGGACCCCTCGCCCCCGCCTCCGCGCAGCGCTGCGCACCCGCGTGGCCTGCGGCAAGCGCGAGGCGGCGAGAGATTCAAATGCAGCAGGTGGCCCACGTGGAGAAGCCCCCTTCCCGTGCTGCTTCCACGTGGCACAGATCATCAGAACAGTAATAATGAAAGTGGGGGCTGCAAGTACCAACGCTTGGAGTGGGATGCAGACTCCCCTCAGCTGTGCATGCACGGCTGGCATTAAAGCACGTGCAAGAAGCACTTGGGCTCAGGCACCGCTTATTCACAGCCAAGCAAGGCAAAAGCCAGCCCGTGTGGACCTGGGTGGGGCAGCTCCTCTCTGTCCGGAGTGGGTCCAGTCATGACTCCGGGCCTCTGCAGGGCAAATGTGCAGGAGCTACAATTCTTTACTGTGTACCTAACTGTGCACAATGGCCATGTGCAGCCACCCCAGAGCCCAGGCACCCATTTAGGAAAGAGGTAACTGAAGGAGCTGCTGTTCACCTCAAGTTTCAAGGTATATAGTGAGGTGGCACCCAGTCCCTCTTCCAGGCACCCTTACCCAATGTCACCTGCAGAAACTGTCAGCCTCCGGAGTGGCTCCAAAGAAGAAAGAAAGAAAAAAAAAAAAAAAAAAAAAAAAAGCTTGTAAAGATTGGTTAAAATACATCTCAGATATTTTTAAGTACTGGCCTGGCAGAAAGAGAACATGGGGCCTGTGCTTGGAAGCGCATTGTTTTGTTGTGACTAGTGTGTAATGGCTGGATCAACACAGATGTCTTTCTGTTCACCCTGGAGGAAATGACTTGCAGAGTCTTTGTTTCCCTTGGGGGATTTCCTCCAGAGGCAGCGTTTGGCTCACCCGCCACGCTGAGCCTGGCGAGCCGCGGGGCGCCTCAGCCCCACGCCAACGACGGCTGCCGCGCGGCCGCCCCACACACTCCCAGGTCAGCAGCCCTCTCACCACCCTGTGTGCGGCCACCTCACAGGTACCATCTCACCACACGGTCCCCACACACTCATAGTAGTAGCCACCCAGGTGCCCGTGCAGAGCTCCTTACTGCCCCTGGCACCTTCAGCTGCGTTTTTGGAGCAACAGCAGCTGTATCTTCCCCCACTTGCCTGCTGCTGCGGCAGAGGAAAGGACAGTAAGACTTAACAGTTGCTTAAGCAGGGAGTTGGAGCAGCTTTACTCACTGCAGTGCCCTTTCTGAGCTCCAGAAAGTGCCTTCTAGTGAAAAAGGATTACGTGGCAACGTGATAAGATCAGATGCAGCTGCATCTTTTGTGGGACTTTACCCTCGCACTGCAGTGGCAGCATGGGGAGAAAGAATTTCTGTGGTCCTTTGCCATATTGAAGTTGTCCTCCTTGATGACTGCTGACCTGGAGTTGGCCAGTTTGATGCTGACAGAGCAGCTAATGGAGGGTTTGTGTGGAGGCGTGGATCACAGTTAACACTTTACATGTTTTACAAGGCTTTCCAGTCCTCAGAAGACTTGCTGGCATCTCTGCTCAGCTAGAGATGCACTCTTCCTTCCCTCCCACCTCACTCTGCCTCAGTGGCTGATGAAGCTTTCTGAGGGCAAAGCAAGGACAAGATGACCCTGGCTCTAAGGACATGGATGCATCTCCAAAGGACTGAAGAGGTGGACTGGTCACCGACTGACGGCTGGGCTCTGATTAGCTGCACTTGCTCAAGTCATAACCACTCTGGGCTGAACAGTAGCTGTGAGAGCACAGAGAGTGCCCTGCAAAGGTGTGATGACCTGAGCAGCCCTCGGGAAAATCCTTAAATGCCCACAGAGCACAAGAATTGAGAAAAACTTGGGGAAAAGCAGTACCACTCATTTTGTGTGGTGAGAAAAGCTTGGGGAAAAGCAGTACCACTCACTGTGTGTGGTTTGTTTTGACTTGGCGAGCAGGACAGTGCTGTGCATTTGGATTTCTGCTGTGCAGTTCTGGCAAATCTCCTTGCTAGAGTTCTGCCCTGGTCTAAAGTATTTAAAGAATAAAGATACCTTTCAAATATAATGTTTGTTTTATTTATCTGCATGAATTTTAAAACAAAGAGGAGGCTGAGCTTTCTATCCAGGGAAATGTGCTGGCTTCTGTTAAAAAAAATAAAAATCTGCTTTGCAGGAAAAAAAAAGTCTGAACAAGAAATGATTTCATTTCCTTAAAATTTCGCATACTTAAAAGTTATCCAAACAGTGCAGTAGCAGGAGAAAGAGAAAAGGAGGTGGCATTTCAGGGTTTTTGGACAGTTTGGGCTCCAAAGGAGTTCAGCATTACTGTTTCAACCTTTTCTAAAATTTCAGGAATCTTGTGGACTGCTAACATAGCTCCAATCCCACCTCTGCTTTGAAAGGATTGGAGTGCTTCTTTCTGAGCCTTTTCTTTGGTAAGCCCCAGGGAACCCTGTGGGCTGAAGTGATGAATGGACCATGGTCCATTCCAGATAAACAGCACTCAGCTCTCAGAGCGGTTTTGCTGCTCTACTGCAAAGGAAGGAAGAGCAGCGAAGCCTTCTTGTGCCAAACTGCTCCTCTCTCCAGGAGGAAGTCTCCGCTGGGAAGAACTGAGGCTTATGAAATCTGAGGCGTGTGTGGCACAGAGGACCACAGGGTATAGAGGACTATTTGATAGAATATCTTTCCAACAACAGTTGTTTGTCTGATTTAGCTTCACCATCTTGTGGTCCGCATGAGTTCTGTCCTTGGACCACTATGGTCTGGCTAGCTCTTCTGTCTAGAAAGCCTCATCTTAACAATCTTTCTGTTCAGAGAGAAACATCTCTGCCAGTCTCTTGGACACCCAGAGGATCCTCCTCTTATTTTTTTTCCTGTGCCTGTCAAATCCTTAGTTGGATCTTCTTCATTTCTCAGAAGCTTCTGTGAAGTCAGTCAATGAACATTTCTTTTGTTTATTGTTCTTCTCTTACTTGCTGTGGACAGACATGACCTAACATCTCAAGAGCAATTGTTCGTTGTTATTGTTCATTGTCTGGTTTCCAAAACAGCAAATGTGCTGATTTTTCTGCCTATACTGAGTTCCCTTCTCCACAGCTTTGTCGCAGTTTTGAGAGACTTCAGACGCAGTAATTCCATTGCATCACAGAAAGTGATCATAAAAAGAAGAGTAGCTGAATATGACAGGTATAGTATTTGAATAAGCCTTGGCCAGGAGAAGAGCAAGGAAACTGGGAGGCAGGGGAACCAAGGGCTCTGTCTGGCAGGCCAGCTTGCCAGGTGGGTTCGGGAATTGCTGACAGCCCTTTTAAGCATGTTTTCAGAGACTTTAACTGAGGGCTGGAGAGCAGAACTCAGAAAGGCCACAAGTGTGTATCTGCCAAAGATGAGCATCTGCAGGTCTTACAGATACCAGGAATATATCACTACATGCCATTCAATAAATGTAATAAAGACAGATGACTAAGCTAACCTATCTACCCTGAAGTACTGCTGACCCTGAAGTCTTACAGATACCAGGAATATATCACTGCATGCCATTCAATAAATGTAATAGACAGATGACTAAGCTAACCCATCTACCCTGAGGTTTACCATTTAAACACAAGAGAAAGAAAAGGGCTTTCAAGATTTCGAAAAAAAAATAAAAGAGTAAGTCAGAAAAGAAGGAGAGAGATTAAATTAACTAAAAGGTGTCAAGCAAAGGTGGAATTATGCAACTTGTATTTATTGATCCCTTGCAATCTGTAGTCACATGGGACAGCTGGACAAAACAAACACTACAGGAATATTGGGAAGGCGAGGGAGAGAATAAACGTGTGAACAAATCTTGAAAGGGAAACAAATAGACTTTCATTTCTTATGAACTTTTATCTAACCCAAATTGCTAGTAACACTGAAATTAATTAATTTACAGCTAACTCATAAGTTTGGAGGAACTACATTAATTTTGCCTAACCTTATAAATCTGTATAGACTGTACACCCGTAAGGCCTGGCTTTGCCCTCAGGGCCTGACAAAGTGCAATAAAATAGGATATGACCTCCCAGATCCCTTCTCCCATTGTACCATATGTAGTAAAGTTTCAAAGTCAGAAATGCCCAAATCTCTTTTACCTCAGAACAGGAGTACCATCAAGCAATATTTAAATAAACAATCATATATTGTTTTCACTATTCAGCTGTATCTTTCTGTGCTCACCTGCATCCACATTCAGCATGGATAATATTCAAAAAATCATTTTTTCATTTTTTTCGTTGTTGTTTTCCCTTAGCCATCCATATGTAACCCTACGCTTTGTTTTCCTGCACATTTGATATATTCATGGGATTTTCTGTGGTATACACCACTACAGATGAGTGGAATGGAACACCTCCAGACTGTAACGATACAACTTAACTGCATGAAAGGGTGAGATGAAAAGGGTGAGCAGGAATCTCCTGCTAGAAGAGCTAGAAGTTCTCAAATAAAGCCAGTAAGAGCTAGAATGGAAGCTCATTAAAGGAGCAGGTTCATTACACAGCAGTCAGATGTGTTGAATTCCTTGCTTTTCAAAGGATACCGAGGATATAGGAGATCAGGCATTTTTGAAAGAGACTGGACAGACACTTGGAACAAGGATCTATTGAGAATCCCTAGACAGACACCTCAGATCTGGGAAGTCTTTTGAGAGAGTATCATAAGGAATACTTGAACAAAGGTATCACATAGACCTGCCCTGTTCTTACAGATGGCCTGGGAAGCCATCTGTGGCCCCCATAAGTAGGATGCTGGGGTTTTATGTTTCACCGATATAGATAAATGTATTTTTTTTTTTAACAAACCTGTGAGTTACTGGGAAATGTTTATTCCTTATCCCACAAGCCTTCACAGCAACTAAAGTCTTTTTAGCACTTCCTCTACCACCAACTAATCTGCAGCTTGCACAGCCCATGACCTACTTCTCAGTTCTAAATAAAGGACTCTCTTCTTGGGTTTCCATGGTCCTCAGTGCTGCACTGCTGGAGATTAGCGAGAAATGGTGAGTGAGAAAGAGGCAGCTGGATCTACCACTAATGCCAGCACAGGGAAGGATGTGTTTGCCAGTGCCAAGAACAAACCTCACGCCTGCTGTGTCTCAGTGAGTCCACACGTGTCTCCAACACATGTGCTTCAGGATATGGGTTTCTGTGCCATGAGAAATTGTGGAGCAATCCAAATTTCTGGCCTCCCAGCATGGTTCAGAAATGAAAACTGAAATCTGCCTCTGTCAGTTATACAAAGGGTAATATAATTTGTTATTGTCAAGTCCCATCCTCGTGATCGTAAAAGAGGTCTACAAGGATGTATGCCAGCTGACTACTCAGATGAGATATTTAAGAAGCACTGAACATCTTTGAGGTAACCAGATGTTTCTAACACATGGTTAGGTTAAAACTACAATTTTTGTCATACTGTCATACTCTGAGGATCAGTGGTCAGGAAGTGATATATGCACAGCAGTACCAAATGCGCCAAATGTCTGCCTGATGACCGTATGTTTAGGAAATCTCCCTCCTAGCCCTAAGGACAAGCCAACACCAGCTTTCTGCTAACAAATGCTAGATTTATTCAGTCTTACCTACTTTGTTTTAACAGTGGAACAGTCCCCATTTCTCTGCTTCCTTTTTGCAGATGGCATTATTTCCTGCACTGCCAGGACTGCAGGCAGCATTCTGGCCAGAGTAGCTACATCACAAAGGCATTCCCTGCTGTTGGGAGGCAGGGGGGTCACTGGCATGACACTTGTCCTTACCTGCTGTCACAGTAACTCCCACTGATCCAGCTGGGATCACCTTCCTGAAGAATCCAGGTGTCTTCCTTCTTTACCATGATGACTTTTACCCGAAAGCCTTTCAAGTGTTAATTCATACCAGATTTTCCTTTGACATACAGAGTTAAGACACCCAATAATTTGATATTTTTATATGCACAAGCTAGTCAAGAGTGATAAAGATAAAATAAATATAGGCTGCATTAACCTTCAAACACACATGCACGTCTCCCTAAAGCTACAGGACTTGTATTCATGCACTTGAGTTAAACTGGATACATAAATTTACAGAAGGTTTTGCTAGGCTTCTTTACTTAGATGGTGGGTCTATCTGATCACAAAGACTGGCAAATCATGTCACCACACACACATTCCTTTCCTCTTTCTCTGCTACTTTATAAGTAATGCAACTTGCCCTAACTTGGGTAGTTTAGCATGAGAACAGGTCAGTACACTACAGTGTGATCTGAGTGGTGGTTTGAGATGCTAATGAAATAAAATAATAGGAAATAACAAGCATGTGCACAAAAAAAATTATAGATTCTTTATTTACTTGCACCTTTAACTCACATATAGAGTCAGTACAGAAGTTCTTAGGAGCATAATAAATTTTCTTGCTAGTGCCACTACAAGGAATAGCTACCTAGAAAGGAAAGGCTGTGGACTAGAGCAGTGGCTTGCTCTGCACTGGTGGTTTTCAGCTTGTGGCCCATGGGCCTACAGATATTGAGCAGCTACTTCTCAAGGAACCCACAGGAGGTAACCAAAAAAGGACATCCTTCAATTCAATAGGATCATCTCTCTAAGACTACTCCAGAGACACCATAAGGATCCTTAAACCAAAACCTTTTGCAAACCAACTCCCTGCCGTAGGCAGCTTGAGAGCTGGCCCAGCTGCTCAAGGCAGGTCAGAATGGCGCGGGCGCAGCGCGGAGCGCATGACACTGCTCTGCACGTGCCTTGGACTGGGCTGCAGCACGCAGTTACCTGGAGCCTCAGCAAGAGAGTCTGGGCTAAGTCACGCTGCCGAGCAGGCTGAGAGGCTCTCATAGCGCTGCATGTGGTTTAGAGGCCGCGCATGTCGCTGCTGAGGAAACATAGTAGGCTTCCCTGAGGAGAGCGTGCCTAGCATTTGAAAGTGAGGTTAGTGAAACAGTCTGACCTGAATCAGTCTTCAAATATGCGCCGGCAAGGCAAAATTCAACAAGCAGGCATGGTTGTTCCAGAGAACAGATTCTGAGCTCAGCAAAACTGGAATCACGCAGCTGACTTCAGCGGAATAGCATCAAATTTAGAAGAAAAAAAAAAAAAAAAAAAAAAAAAAAAGCTGAAAGGAGATTTTGTTTCAGGATGTGGTTTGCTTAGCCAGAATCTGCTATTGAAATGTAGGTGGTCAAAGTATAATTTTAGCTAGTACTATAGTCCGATGTGAAACTGTGCAATGGCTTACAACACACAACAAAAAATGTTAAAATGAATATAATTTTTCTTCCTCAATAGGCAAAAATATTTTTCCATTTGCAATGGCATGCTACATAAACAGATTACACTGATTTAATTAGGATAATTAGCTGCAGCACTTCAATTAGAATACTATCTAGCCAAAAGCCTGAGGACCACAACAAGTTCCGCTTCTGATCTCAGTGACGTTTTTGTAGATACCTTCCTAGTGAAACTGCCATGAATTGGAACTCATAGAATACATCTATGGATCTTCACTGTATTTGAGATTCCCTAAGACAGCTGCAAGCTGGAGAAAAAAAAAATCATCATGCATCTGGTTGATTTTGTAAACTCACCTCAAACGTTGAATCCTTTGCTGCATTGCATCCATACATATAGTATTTGTGAAGACAGCTCCAGATCTGCCACTTTACTGTTTTGAAAAGCTCTTAAAGCTGAGGTAAAGCTGGGGAGCCTGCAGGTGGTATGAGGAGGGTTCAACTGGCCTTTCACTGCATACTTCATTCCTGATACCTCCTTTACTTCACACAGACACACAATTTGTTAAATATACATTGAGAAAGTTGAAACAAACAATTTGCCTCATCACGTCAAACAACGTAACCATGGCAATGCTACAACAGCCAATGCTTCCATTGTCTTGCCAAATTAGGACCCCCTGTACTTCATGGGATTCTGTCGTAAATGCAGGATTTTCAGAGAACAAAGAAATTAAAGAGAAACAGCAATCTGTTTAGTTAGCTCGGATTCTTGAGTTCTAGGAAAATCAATTGTGATGAGAAAATAGACATTTTTTAAATAATAAAGATTACTGTCTGGGAAAAAATAATCTCGGGCTTGTCTTGCCAAAATGCTTATGAGAAAGGAAGAATACTGCATGTCCCTTGCACCCATGAGCTTCTTTGTTCTAATATACAGACGTAGCATTGGCAATAGATGTCTGAGCCACAACTACAAATGGGCTGACCCATTACTATCTAGCCTGGCATTTGGCTTGTAAACAATAGTAGGAACTGAGTCCATAGAAAATGTGTCATTCTTGCCAGCCTGCCACATTGTTTGAGCTGGGAAATCAAGATAAAACGGCTACATTCTTGATTAAAAATAAGAGGCCTTTGAATTTTCTCTTTGAACTTTCCATCAAGGATTGACTTTGTCACCTCAACCCAGCTCTCTAGGTCTGAATATAAATTACTTTTCATACTTTAGAGTTATACAATACTGGGACTGGCTAAGACCAGGTAATAAATGAAGTGCAAAGTTTGTCTTACTACATCTTGCCACGGCCTAGCACAGGGCCTTGCTTGTGATGGGGGCAGACAGCACTTCCACAGCCACTTCAACTTCCAAGTCTCTCTGGAAGGAAGCTTTATCTTGGGTTGTATTTAACACTAGAGTACCACTGACTACAGTATCTCACACCTGGGATGAATCTGTCCCTTCTATTATTTTGATATTGTATCCTTCGCAAGGCCTTTCAGATGGACATTTAAAAGGCTGCAGTTAATTGGCACGCTTTACGGATTGCTTCATGCTGGAATTGATAAAGCCAGTTAAGCTGCACTGGCACAAACAAGCCTGCAATACTGCAAAGGGATATTTACAGGAGAGGATTTCTGCAGAAGGTTCCTTCTGCTTCTAATATAATGTACAGGTTGGGACCAGTATGTTATTATCACTTAACAGAGGGATGTTTGCATGATGGCAACAGCATATCCAGAATTATTTCTTGGCTTTAATTTTGGTAGAGCAATCCTTTGTTTAAAAGGTTTATCTATTTGATATTCATTCTAGAAACAAGGTAGGATACTCTATTGCTATGTTCCTTACCATGCTATAATGCCTGAATTTATCAGTAAGTGTTTTAATAGATGTGGAATAGATGTCAATGGATATTTGGAACATGTTGTATTTACTAGCACAGCCATACTTACCACTTGCAAAAAAAAAAAAAAAAACCTACTCCATCTCTTAACCAACAGTGAATCTGGAATGCCAACTTTGCAGCATACCTGAATTAGAAAAGGAACTGATATTCTACGATGCTGGATTCAGCGAAGTGTTTAAATAATTCTTACTGACTTAAAAAGCAATCAAATATGGGCAGGCTTTCATTATTTCATTCAATATATCATATTTCTCATTTTTATGCACTGATGGATTAGATTACAGTGAGTTAAATTTGCTTTATAAACTACAGCAAAATTTTGCCTTCTTACCTTGACTGGGTTGGCTTCTTTGCATTTAGATGAGGGAATCCATTTTTCACTCCTATTTCCTCATGGTCTATGTTTTCACATGAGACCTGAAGACCTGATGGGACCAAACTTGTGCTTGAAGTTAGGCATGTACGTCAGTGAGTTGCTTCTTATAGGCAAATGTTCAATCTGCACAGACCTGCAGCCAGAATGGGACAAACCGGGTAAGAGGATACCCGAACACAGAGCTAGAAAACTTCCCAGAACATGGATTCCCATGGGCAACGCCACAGGAAAAGGCTAATAACAGAAGCAGTAAAGTCCACAAAAAAAGATGGCTAAATTGTTTGCCTCCTGTCCTCCTAGAAAAGAATAATGCTAGATAACCTGATCATCACAACTCTATTATCAGCACAAATTTAGTGATAGCTTATAGTCATCTACCTCCAGGCAGTGCCCTTTAACTTACATAGTTCTTCCTCCCTTATTTTTACCTTCATTTACAGTGAGCTAGGATACATTCTCTGAAACAACATCTAAGCAAGATGATCTATTCATCTAAGCAAGAAACTTGTGGGTCTATATTCATGATCTTAATATCTCCCTGATCATTTGAAGATCCTCTTTTCTGAACTTCTTTCAGCATATTAATCTTGCTTCACTGTGACAGAGCTGTTCTCAGTACTCCAGATAAGGTCTCAGCACTGCATATTTCCCTTTAACCTATTTGAAAGATTTTACCTACAGCCCATCAGAAGTAATTTTGGTTTTCATGATCCTACCCTAATAGCTGTCCTCCAATACCCCATGATTAACAATTGACTAAACAGCCACATCTTTCTCTTCATCTCTTGTCAGCAGCTGATGGGACTGTATTTACTGATGAAATTCTCACTAGTCTCTCATTCTCTTGCCCTTTGCTGTTAATCTTCATCCTATATCTGTCACTTTAGTCCCTCTTAATGGAGCCCGTCTTTTATAGCAGCTAAGCCCTCAGGGAGTTAAAGATATCTTATCATCAGTGCATTTCATTAATCACTTTCATTAATCATGTACCTTTTTATTATTTGCTAGAATTTCCTTTGCAGAGTCTTACCCAGCGTCACTTACGACAGTTTCACCTTTCCCCATGCTTTCTGCCTGTCCAACTATTTTCTCCTTTCCTGTACTCTATGGGTGCTCTGCTTACACATAATATGAAGAGCTTCTCTGCTAGTTGTAAATGGAGCTATTTCTTGCATTTCTTCTATTTGTTTGGGATGAGTATTTCAGATAATATTTCGGATAATCTCTGCAGCATTGGTTTAAAGAAACTCCAGTTGCCTTGCAGTTAACTCACTGCACAATATGTGTTCATAATTCAAAATCAATTGAATAGTATCAAGATTTTGAAATTCTGTAGTCTTAAGTATAAACACATGAAAAGAAATAAGCTATTTTTACTGTATTATTAGTCGTCCAGTCTGCGTGGTGAATGTCAAGATCATATTGAAAACACAGCAAATAATTCGATAGCATTATAGTAAAAAAGGTGTAATGAGTTTTTCACACAAAATCACTCATCAATGTCCAGCTGCAGACTAGTGAGGGGGAATACTCACTGCATCAACCTTGCTAACATACAATGACAGTCTGACATGCGATTTCAAGGCCAGATGCTTTTCGTGTTGTTTTCCTGAGAGCCACCACGAGAGGGCCATGTGCCTGCAATCTTGCAGATCCTTAGAAACTCTCTCCTACATAGCCTGCTCTCTTAATTTGTTGTGGTTTCCAAACAATATTGTCCTAATTTGCCTTTCATTCACAAATAACATAATATTCCTGTAATGAGAAATCTAACGACAGCCCTTCTTGTGGCTTCAACTAGAAGGTATGCACTTAATTAGGCACTGAAATATGTCCTGGGAAACAAATGAGTTTAAAGTTTCTCTCCCTTTTTTTTTTTCTTCTTCTTCCCCTGCAGGGCTTTTCCCTTTTGCTCACTCTTGTTAACAAAAGCAGGGGTGGCCAGTTCCACTCCCCCACAGGGCATCAGCTGGTGCTCTTGAACAACAGAGGACAGCAAAGTGAACAGCACTTGAAAAAGGAGCAACGCAAGCAGAAATGTTTTTCTTGTTCCTATGTGTTATTTGTTGCTTTACCACTGTAGGAAAAAAATCAGCCTTCACTTGACAGAAAAAAAAAAAATCACTGTACAAGAATCCAGAAGCCATAATTCTATGGTAAATGATAACACCAACACTGAAGTGAAAATCAACAAGCTGCATTTGGTTACGCTGTAAGGCCTAACCCAGTGTCACAGAATGATGCATTGGTGAAACTAAGTAGAAATTGGCCACTGCTCTGACAGTGCCTCTCGCTCTGCTGAGGAACCAGAGTTTTTCATGCAGGAGAGTCCTCAGCCCTCTTCCATGTTGGAATGCCAACAGGCAGCTCTCCTGAACACAGTGACATGCCTGTGGGCGTGCAAGGCTGCCGGCATTTGACAGGGAAGCACCTGGACGTTTCCCAGGCTGCCATCCCAGGTGGTGGAGGAGAACCTGGGAAGCAGTTGTTCAGCCAGCCTGCCACACCATTAGTAAACAGTGGAGGCACGTCCATGGTTTAGGAACAGGACCATCTTGCACAACGCACCTGGCATCAGCCAGGGGTTAACGTCATGCCACAACTTTCTCAAAGGCAAAGTTAAAACCAGGAACTCCGAAAGCGAGTTTGGCGTTCGTGTCCATGGTGTCCCAATGCCTCACGGTGACGCCTGGTTTGGACTCTGCTAGTGACAAGCTGGTGTCACTAGATGGCGACCGACTCCTTCCATACTGGGCCAAGTACCAAAATAAGTGCTCAGAACAGAGAACTCGCATAAAGTTTTTCCATTATTAGACCAATATATAAAACCAGTCACACAATATCTTCACTTCTTGCTTGTAAATCCAGAATATTGTCAGCATCAGTATGTTATTTTCAGTCAGAAACATAGCCTTGTTTAATACAAACGAGGAACGAACCAAGCATGAAGACAATTTAGCTGCAAAATTTGGCCTGTGTAATATATTATCTGTATTGCCTCACCTTTGCAGTTGCAAACATTCATGAAAATTGAACAAGAGGATTCTTGAAACATACTAACTTTGTATATCTGTAAACGCAGAATTAAACTTCCAGCATGTTTGAAAATTGCTCTTTTACCAATTATTTTACATTTTGAACTCAATTTGGCTTTTTCCTGCTAAAAGAGAATGGAAGGAAAAGTGTCTTAAGAACCACTTGAGCACAATGGAATAGTTTGCCTAACAGAATTGGCTTGCTAATAAAGGTGTGGCTCCTGAGAGAGTTCTCAGGACATTTAAAAACTTCTAGGAGTGGTTTAATAGCAGATTGCTTCATTTGGGTGGTGTCATACAAGGTTTCACTCAGTATTACTCAAGCAAATTAAATCACTGTAGTCTGTAAACAAATATAAATCCTGAATTTTCTCAAGAGCAGAAAATCCTTTCCCAGACTTCTGTCACTCTAGTCTGATCACACATTTTAAACGTGTTGAGCTCAGCAGGTTTCTAAATAGTAACTAGGGTATTTCCAAATAATTGATAAATATGAAATACTGCCAGTTAACCCCATAACAAAATGGAACTTGCATTTGTTAATGAATTTTATGTGCAGCTATGCAAAATAAACAAACAAATTTATTCACAAATCAAATCTCAACTTTCCACCACACATCTGCCCATCTTCATGCACCCTTCCCTCTGAGGGACCTTTTGTTCTCCCATGTGACAACTGAAATAAGGATTTCTGAGCCTGTTTCTAACAGTTTCACCAGATAAAATCCCAGCAGTGCACTAAACAGCCATAAAACACTAGCTACAGAACTGTACAGGCTAGAGGGCCTAAAGGCCACCCGAATAGGGGTCTTTACACCAGCTACCACTTGTTAGAGGGATATGTCCCGAATTACAGCAGCAACATAGCGGCTTTGCCCAGCTTTTTCATTATGTTTTGGAGGGGCTGCTCCTCATTCCCTCGAAGCACTGCAAAAGGTCTGTTTGAACACGCAAACATATTTCTTGGGCTCTTGTGACACAGTGGAAAGGTCTCATTCTTCTGGCACTGCTATCACTTAGAGCTACCTGTATCTAATCATTCCAGAGCCTCAGCTTGCAGCCTCTTCTGCATCTGGCCAGTTCGAGCTTGGAATTCGATGACTAAGATCTTTATAAAAGCCATTATTGACTGATATTTATTGGGAGACTTCTGGTCCAAGCCTTGCTTGCCTCAGACCCTGAAAAGCAAGAAGGGCACTCTCAGTAAAAGAGTGAATGAAGAGGCATGATTACAGTCCTTGCTGTTCAAACACAGATTATGATAACTACTAACCAGTGACTTTTCTTTTTCATCTCATTTGCCTCTACTCTTCGTAAACATAGCAAAGGATTCAGCACATCTCACACTTTTTTCTTTTTCCCCTTCGGGTATTCTCTCCCATCCAAGCATCTTTGTGCACATTGTACAGTGCATCTGTGGGGAGAAGGAATTGCCGGTGAGCTGCTGGCTGCCAAGTAATGGAGCCAGCAGCTGAGAAAGTTCACAGAGGGAGCCTGGGGGAGAGACAGAACATAAAAGGGATTGAGGAAGGGAGGAGGAAGTAGAAGGGAAGAAGCAGCAGGATGTAGGCAGCACCCAGCTGCTCTGTTAAGCTGTGCCATTACCTCACAGAGGAGGCCCCTGCACATGACATAATTACAAGGAACTGCAGTAGTTTGAGTCAGCAGCTCCCAGCAGCCAGGGGGTCCTTCTGGTGCTCTCCACGCTCTGCCTCCTCCCCGCAGCACACTCCTCATCGTAGCTCCCCTCCACACTCTGTCTCCCATCCAAGTCCCATCCTGACCCCAGTAGCTCCAGGATGGCAGCTGGACTACTTCTACTGCTATTATAGAAGCATGATTAATGGAAAAGACTAAAGGTTGATCACACCAGCAACCTTTGGACTGAGGGTGGTTAAATAAGAATAAGAAAGCTTTGCACTAAGCTCCTTCTATAAATATGCTAACTTAGAATAAACTTCTCTGTATAGATTTAATTCCCCTATTACATGTACTTACCACTGAGGGGTCAGCAACACTGCACAGAAGAGCTGTACTTTCAAGTTTTTTTTATGTTCTTCTTTTTTAAAGGACTGCAGGTTTTGTTAATTTATTAACTGTGATCAGAGAATATATCTGGATTTCCTTAGGGCATTTGACTAGGTACCAAATCACACCAAATTAGGAGAGAAAAACTGGATTTACAAGCTTCCATAGGTAGCTATTAATGCAGTATCAATGACCACAGCTATATCTAGCAAAGTCCTAAAGGCCAAACTCATGGGTCAAAATAATAGTTACACATAAAAAGTGACAATTATACACCTTCTGGTTACATTTTCTGCTGATAAATATTGTTTTGCACCCTCTCTGCATGGCCTTCTGTGAGCCACATCACCCAGATTTCACCACCTCAATCTTGCTTCCCTCTGCAAGCCTAAAAAGCACTGCTCATCTCTTGTGTCACCCCTGCAGACTGTACACATCCTGCCAGCTGGCCAGTGTCCCTGCTTCTGCACAGCAAGCACTGACCCTCAGTTTAGGCAGCCACATAGATGGAGCATGGAGGGATGGTACATCAGGCCCATCCACGTGGGATAGAAGAGAGCTAGAGCACCCCAGCAACTCCAGCAGTTGGAGTTGGGAGGCAGATGGTTTGGAAAACAGCTGAACGAGAGGGGAAACAAGCTCACAGCCCCACCACTCCCTCAGAGCAAAAGACATAAGAGCATTACCAAGAGTGGCAATCACAGGTCACCTTTTCGAGCACTAATAAGAAAAGCTTAAGCAGCACCGGGAGAAGGGGTCACCTGCGTGTCACGCACCCGAAGCTGCCGTGCCCAGACACCCTCCCGCCTACAGGAAGCCCCCCCCCTC